GTAAACCAGCCTATTATTAAAACTATATTCCAAATCAACAATAAACCAACAAAAAACAGTTCTATCATTTTAACTGATATGGCTTTGCTCGTGTGCACGAATGTGTAAATGGATGAAATGGAGCAAACAGTGCAGAATAACATTAGACCACTTGCCCTAAAAATGTAATTGATACTTGACATTATCAGAAAGATGCTGTTTTTAATTAATGTTTTTTGCTCGTTTTTGTTTCAGTAGTTCTGATATGGAGTGGTGAAAAGGGACTAAGCTCTCATTTATTACATGTTGCAGCTGTAGAGTATATATCTGCGGGCTTCACATGACACGTGGTCGACATAAAAGTCACACCAAGACCCTCGGCGCTCGGGGCGGGAGTCACTGTGATCTGTCAGAAGTGATGAAGAGATGTTATAAGAGAAGGTCGAGGAAAAGATGGATGGGGGAAGGGCTGCGTAATGTTTAGTTAAAGGAGGAATATAGGCATCTTTACTCATATTACTGATGATTCTAAATCTCACTAAGGCTCTTTTATGCTACATGTAGGTTCATATCAGTATTTAGTGTCTCTACTTTAAAGAGTCCTCTCCTGCTGATGTTCAGGTGTATATCAGTATGTAGTGTCTCTACTTTAAAGAGTCCTCTCCTGCTGATGTTCAGGTGTATATCAAGTATGTAGTTTGTCTCTACTTTAAAGAGTCCTCTCCTGCTGATGTTCAGGTGTATATCAGTATGTAGTGTCTCTACTTTAAAGAGTCCTCTCCTGCTGATGTTCAGGTGTATATCAGTATGTAGTGTCTCTACTTTAAAGAGTCCTCTCCTGCTGATGTTCAGGTGTATATCAGTATGTAGTGTCTCTACTTTAAAGAGTCCTCTCCTGCTGATGTTCAGGTGTATATCAGTATGTAGTGTCTCTACTTTAAAGAGTCCTCTCCCTGCTGATGTTCAGGTGTATATTCAGTATGTAGTGTATCTACTTAAAGAGTCCTCTCCTGCTGATGTTCAGGTGTATATCAGTATGTAGTGTAATCTACTTTAAAGAGTCCTCTCCTGCTGATGTTCAGGTGTATATCAGTATGTAGTGTCTCTACTTTAAAGAGTCCTCTCCTGCTGATGTTCAGGTGTATATCAGTATGTAGTGTCTCTACTTTAAAGAGTCCTCTCCTGCTGATGTTCAGGTGTATATCAGTATGTAGTGTCTCTACTTTAAAGAGTCCTCTCCTGCTGATGTTCAGGTGTATATCAGTATGTAGTGTCTCTACTTTAAAGAGTCCTCTCCTGCTGATGTTCAGGTGTATATCATCAGTATGTAGTGTCTCTACTTTAAAAGAGTCCTCTCCTGCTGATGTTCAGTTGTAATCAGTATGTAGTGTCTCTACTTTAAAGAGTCCTCTCCTGCTGATGTTCGGTGTATATCAGTATGTAGTGTCTCTACTTAAAGAGTCCTCTCCTGCTGATGTCCAGGTGTATATCAGTATGTAGTGTCTCTACTTTAAAGAGTCCTCTACCTGCTGATGTTCAGGTGTATATCAGTATGTAGTGTCTCTACTTTAAGAGTCCTCTCCTGCTGATGTTCAGGTGTTAGCAGTATGTAGTGTCTCTACTTTAAAGAGTCCTCTCCTGCTGATGTTCAGGTGTATATCAGTATGTAGTGTCTCTACTTTAAAGAGTCCTCTCCTGCTGATGTTCAGGTGTATATCAGTATGTAGTGTCTCTACTTTAAGAGTCCTCTCCTGCTGATGTTCAGGTGTATATCAGTATGTAGTGTCTCTACTTTAAAGAGTCCTCTCCTGCCTGATGTCAGGTGATATCAGTATGTAGTGTCTCTACTTTAAAGAGTGCTCTCCTGCTGATGTTCAGGTGTATATCAGTATGTAGTGTCTCTACTTTAAAGAGTTCTCTCCTGCTGATGTCAGGTGTAGATCAGTAATGTAGTGGTCTCTACTTTAAAGAGTCCTCTCCTGCTGATGTTCAGGTGTATATCAGTATGTAGTGTCTCTACTTTAAAGAGTCCTCTCCTGCTGATGTTCAGAGTGTATATCAGTATGTAGTGTCTCTACTTTAAAGAGTCCTCTCCTGCCTGATGTTCAGGTGTATATCAGTATGTAGTGTCTCTACTTTAAAGAGTCCTCTCCTGCTGATGTTCAGGTGTATATCAGTATGTAGTGTCTCTACTTTAAAGAGTCCTCTCCTGCTGATGTTCAGGTGTATATCAGTATGTAGTGTCTCTACTTTAAAGAGTCCTCTCCTGCTGATGTTCAGGTGTATATCAGTATGTAGTGTCTCTACTTTAAAGAGTCCTCTCCCTGCTGATGTTCAGGTGTATATCAGTATGTAGTGTCTCTACTTTAAAGAGTCCTCTCCTGCTGATGTTCAGGTGTATATCAGTATGTAGTGTCTCTACTTTAAAGAGTCCTCTCCTGCTGATGTTCAGGTGTATATCAGTATGTAGTGTCTCTACTTTAAAGAGTCCTTCTCCTGCTGATGTCAGGTGTATATCAGTATGTAGTGTCTCTACTTTAAAGAGTCCTCTCCTGCTGATGTTCAGGTGTAATCAGTATGTAGTGTCTCTACTTTAAAGAGTCCTCTCCTGCTGATGTTCAGGTGTATATCAGTATGTAGTGTCTCTACTTTAAAGAGTCCTCTCCTGCTGATGTTCAGGTGTATATCAGTATGTAGTGTCTCTACTTTAAAGAGTCCTCTCCTGCTGATGTTCAGGTGTATATCAGTATGTAGTGTCTCTACTTTAAAGAGTCCTCTCCTGCTGATGTTCAGGTGTATATCAGTATGTAGTGTCTCTACTTTAAAGAGGTCTCTCCTGCTGTGTTCAGGTGTATATCAGTATGTAGTGTCGCTACTTTAAAGAGTCCTCTCCTGCTGATGTTCAGTGTATATCAGTATGTAGTGTCTCTACTTTAAAGAGTCTCTCCCTGCTGATGTTCAGGTGTATATATCAGTATGTAGTTTCTCTACTTTAAAGAGTCCTCTCCTGCTGATGTTCAGGTGTATATCAGTATGTAGTGTCTCTACTTTAAAGAGTCCTCTCCTGCTGATGTTCAGGTGTATATCAGTATGTAGTGTCTCTACTTTAAAGAGTCCTCTCCTGCTGATGTTCAGGTGTATATCAGTATGTAGTGGTCTCTACTTTAAAGAGTCCTCTCCTGCTGATGTTCAGGTGTATATCAGTATGTAGTGTCTCTACTTTAAAGAGTCCTCTCCTGCTGATGTTCAGGTGTATATCAGTATGTAGTGGTCTCTACTTTAAAGAGTCCTCTCCTGCTGGTGGTCAGGTGTATATCAGTATGTAGTGTCTCTACTTTAAGAGTCCTCTCCTGCTGATGTTCAGGTGTATATCAGTATGTAGTGTCTCTACTTTAAAGAGTCCTCTCCTGCTGATGTTCAGGTGTATATCAGTATGTAGTGTCTCTACTTTAAAGAGTCCTCTCCTGCTGATGTTCAGGTGTATATCAGTATGTAGTGTCTCTACTTTAAAGAGTCCTCTCCTGCTGATGTTCAGGTTGTATATCAGTATGTAGTGTCTCTACTTTAAAGAGTCCTCTCCTGCTGATGTTCAGGTGTATATCAGTATGTAGTGTCTCTACTTTAAAGAGTCCTCTCCTGCTGATGTTCAGGTGTATATCAGTATGTAGTGTCTCTACTTTAAAGAGTCCTCTCCTGCTGATGTTCAGGTGTATATCAGTATGTCAGTGTCTCTACTTTAAGAGTCCTCTCCTGCTGATGTTCAGGTGTATATCAGTATGTAGCTGTCTCTACTTTAAAGAGTCCTCTCCTGCTGATGTTCAGGTGTATATCAGTATGTAGTGTCTCTACTTTAAAGAGTCCTCTCCTGCTGATGTTCAGGGTATATCAGTATGTAGTGTCTCTACTTTAAAGAGTCCTCTCCTGCTGATGTTCAGGTGTATATCAGTATGTAGTGTCTCTACTTTAAAGAGTCCTCTCCTGCTGATGTTCAGGTGTATATCAGTATGTAGTGTCTCTACTTTAAAGAGTCCTCTCCTGCTGATGTTCAGGTGTATATCAGTATGTAGTGTCTCTACTTTAAAGAGTCCTCTCCTGCTGATGTTCAGGTGTATATCAGTATGTAGTGTCTCTACTTAAAGAGTCCTCTCCTGCTGATGTTCAGGTGTATATCAGTATGTAGTGTCTCTACTTTAAAGAGTCCTCTCCTGCTGATGTTCAGGTGTATATCAGTATGTAGTGTCTCTACTTAAAGAGTCCTCTCCTGCTGATGTTCAGTGTATATCAGTATGTAGTGTCTCTACTTTAAAGAGTCCTCTCCTGATGATGTTCAGGTGTATATCAGTATGTAGTGTCTCTTCTTTAAAGAGTCCTCTCCTGCTGATGTTCAGGTGTATATCAGTATGTAGTGTCTCTACATGTCTCCATGCTTTAATGTTCACAAAGCTCTTTATTTTTCTCATACTGCCTGTGCTGCAGCACCACTTTTCACCCTCTGTCTGAAACCAGAGCCCAGTCTGCTCTGATTGGTTAGCTGGCCGCTTCTGTTGTGATTGGTCAACCGCTTAGAGATGTCCCACCCCTTAGCCTATCACGTACAATGTGAGCTTTAGCCAATAGAGTGTTACATAGCAATGAAAATGAAACTCCCTATGGGGGAAATAACAGGGATTTTAGCCTTTGCAGACCATTTACATGCATTAAAACAAATATATAACACATTACAGGAAAGGGAAACTCTTAAAAAAGCATAATAGGGCCAACCAATTCCAAAAACATCAGACAAGGCACCACATATGGAAAGGGGAGAATTATGAATGATTGTGAAATATGGCGTCATGTTCATTTCACAGAGTGTTTGTCCTCTCTGATAATGAGGGGTGTGTCCGTCTCCCTTAGTCTACAGAGTACGGCTGATGAGTTAAAAGGATGTGTTCTTGCTGTCAGTGAGCAAATTGAACCAGCAGCTAATTGAAGGGAGAAACAGATTCTAAAAGCTTTTCCTTCCCTCTTTGTTGTTGCAGGACAGAGTCTGGGCTACGGCTTTGTCAACTACATCGATCCAAAGGACGCAGAGAAAGCCATCAACACGTTAAATGGACTCAGACTTCAGACCAAAACGATCAAGGTAACCAACACCATGTGCAGCTTCACAAGTCTCATTAGAACTTACCACTGAGAAGCATTGACATGACTTCTATATAATCATTGATAAAATCATCTAAGACGGCTTTCTTTTCCCCCTCAAAGACTTGTTAGATAAGGACGCTGTTAGTAAAGGAGCTAAAGGGCAACATTGGATCATCAAAGAGACACGTTTAAAAACATGTGGCGGATATGCTTATTAGTTTCTAAATGTCAAAATGTAAAAGGTGACATTTTAATCAGACTCATCAGAATTATTATTAAAAAGGTTTCTGGGTTTATTGGATTTTGTGACAATTGCTCTATTTTAGAATTACATTTAATTAAAGAAAGTAAAATAATTAAGTTAAACTATAAGAATATGCAATAAAAGATCAAATATGTATACAAATATAAGATAAAGTAAATTATGGATTAAATACAATTAAAATATGTATATAAATAGCGGATACAAGCGGCCGAGATGGGTTTTCTCCACAGGGTGGCTGGTGTCTCCCTTAGGGATAAGGTGAGAAGTTCGGTCATCAGGGAGGGACTCGGAGTTGAGCCGCTCCTCCTTCGCGTCGAAAGGAGCCGGTTGAGGTGGTTCGGGCACCTAGTTAGGATGCCACCTGGGCGCCTCCCTAGGGAGGTGTTCCAGGCACGTCCAGCTGGGAAGAGACCAAGGGGTAGACCTAGGACCAGGTGGAGGGATTATATCTCTTCGCTGGCCTGGGAGCGCCTTGGGATCCCCCAGTCAGAGCTGGTTGATGAGGGGAGAGGAACGTTTGGGGCTCTCTGCTGGAACTGCTACCCCCGAGACCCGACCACGGATAAGCGGGAGAAGATGGATGGATGGATATAAATAGCATGACTGTCCCTCCTTCAAATATGTTTAATTTAACATTTAAATTCAAAGCAGTTGTTTTTGACTAACGCAGCGTCCACACGGCGGCGTGCGTTGAAGCTTGCCGGCGGCGTGTCTGAAGCTCGACCAACAACCAATCACATGAATCTCCCGCCCCGGACACACAAGCACGCGGTTTGATTGGCTAGAGCTTGCACTGGCATATGATTTGATTGGCTGACGCTTCCGTCGAAGCATCAAAAGTTGAACATTGCTCAACTTTTGAAGCGAGCAAAGCGAAGCTCCCACAATGCAGTTCGGCAAAGCGTGACGTCACCCCATTCAAAGTGAATGGGCAGAAGCGTTGAAGCTTCAACGGGCCGTCAAACCTCTCGCCACCTGAACAGTTTCTTCCCCTCATCAACGAGGCCCGGGCCCCCCACTGACACTGACTTGTATCCATCCCATAATAACATGATGCACTACATTAATGAACATCGTGTTCTTTTTTAAATGTAAATCCTGCACATTTTGCACATTACTTCTCCACTGTATTAAATAAGCACAGCTCTCCGCTTTAAATACAGGATATGTCAAATGTAAATATTGTTATAGTCTTTTCTAAGTAGCTGTCATAACAGTCTTACTTTGACATTATCTTCTCTTGCTACGTATTCTCCTTTCTGTGTATTTGTATGCGCCACATACACCAAAGCTAATTCCTCGTATGCGTATCAGAATCTGAGTTAAACGTATTTACCATCAACAGATCAGTCTTAATGCTTCTCGTGTTTTATCCTCTCTCATATCCTCCACTATCGTCCTTTCTCCGCCTGCCAATATGTTGTTGTGTTTAAACTGGGCAGTAATCTGTTGCTCTGTGGTAATCCCTGGCTTCTCGCTTTCTCTCATCTAATCTAATCTAATAGGATAGGATTACCCTGTAGTTGTTAATCCCGCTTTACACCAGACCTTGTGCGCTGCCTGGCCATCGCTCAGCACATCCACGCTCATGTACTGCACAGAAAGTGTTTTTGCACGAGTTGTGTTACTAAATACTAAGTGAGGTTGTTTGAGATGGTCGTTTGATGAGGATGTGTCACTGTATTTGTGTGTGTTGTCCATATGCAACCCTACAGTTACAAGTGTGACTTAAACACTGGATTGCTCACATCGCAATACATGCATTTTCCTCTTAAAGGCACCTTTAATGTGGAAATCCAATCAGTGTTAACGGTAAATGTAGTCTATTAGAGAAATACACCCCTTGTTCAATCGTGCTATATTAACCTAAAAGCTGAGTGTGCAGCTTTCAAATGTCTTCTTCCTGCTCTTGCATTTGATTTAAACCATTATTGCCTCCAGGGGTATTTTTCTTTGAACGAACAGCATAGAAGAATATCAAAGCAAGATCAACAACCGTACATGACAGCATAATAATATGTCACAAGCATCGGCATCTGACGTGACATAATGTGATATGAGGAGGAACTACAGGTCGTTTCAGATTGGATTTCTGTCTCTTCGTAGCCAGGGGATTCAGACGCCGCTCAGAAACAGAGCTGCCTTCCTCTTTTTGTCCTTGTTGCAAACTAGCTAGGATTGCAGTGTGTGGTATGGATAAGAAGTCATGTTGTTATTGAACAAATTACAAAGGTAATAACTTAATAAACTCACAGTGGAAGAATCTGGTAGAGGAATGTATGGAATGGAAAAATGAACTATGAGAATTAGAAATCAAATCCATATTTGTCATGGAAGATGAGAGAATGGGTGTGAGAACACAAAGCACTACTAATGACCCTATGGTCAAATGTGACCATTCATATGTGATAACTTTATCCTACAATATAAGTTATTGTTTCCTCTTTTTCTTATTTGTGGATTGTTATTTAGGTATTTAAATATTAACTGCATCTCATATAGTTGTGTTTTCCATATAGCCAAATAATGTCTTAAAGGGGACCTATCATGCAAAATGCACCTTTTGATGTATTTTATACATAGACATGTGTCCCGGTGTGTCGGGGAACTCACGCAGCGTCAGAAAATAAAACCCTCTCTCTTTTCCTCCGTACCCAAATCTCTAAAAACGGGGAACAACGGAGCTGATCCAGATTTGCGTCCGATATGACGTAATATCTGAAATGTGGACCCACGGCCCAATCAGAAACGTTGCTATCAGAAACAATGCCCGACTGTTTTGGATGTAATATGGTCGGTGTTTACATTAGCATCGCTAACACTCAGAGCTAACCTGTACTGGAGAGCATGTGTGTGAAGAAGCAGGAAGTAAAAAGGAACTCACCTTGTGGTATAACCGGCAAGAGAGAAAGCCTTTGAGCTCCAAACTGTTTCAGAGAGAATCCTTGATAATCCATGATATGGCGTTTCATCACGGCAGCATTTAGTTTAGACAGTAGCTGCCGGGTCCCGCATGAGCTCAGACCCTCTTAAAGCTTTATACCCCAAATCAGCACTTTTGAAACAGGAAGTGAAATAGAGGGATATGAGGCGTGGCTAGAATGGGTGATCTGTTTGGTATTTTGAGCAAAACACTTCATAGACATGTTTTTTATATATATCTGAGAGCTATGCTATTGTCTAAAAATAGCATGATAGGTGACCTTTAAAATGCAAAAGTAAAAAAAGATGTTTGAATAATGAGAAATTCTGAGATTAAAGTCAGAATTGTTACATTTTTCTTAGACTTCCAAAAAAAAGTCATAATTCCAAATAAATATAAATACATTTTTTTTTTTTTTAATACCGACTTTTATCACAGAATTATAAAAACAAACATTTATTCAGATATAAAAACAAAAATTGGCCCCAATCTTTTCTAATAACCTTACTTGGATATTCCAACGAGAGGAGGGACCAAGACGTTGGCTCTTTATTTTTTGGAAGAGTGACACATCTCTGCAGGAGAACTAAACCATCTGGCTCAATATAGACACACTGAAGATATTCATTTCTTCACATGACACAAATAATAATAATAATACATTTATTTTGGGGGGCGCCTTTCATAACACCTTACAGGGCAAAGGGGCAATATAGGGAACAATTGAAACAGTGGATTTAGTGAAGTATCAGCCGGGGTAAGACAAGACAAACAACAGGAATGGACTATAGAAGGACACAAAAGGACACAGGGTACAGTTTATAAAGAAAATGCCAGTTTGAACAGGTGGGTTTTGAATGTTGTTATGGAATCAGACATCGGACATCTTCATAAAATGTGGTTTGATTCTCACTTCATAGTATCAGCAAAACAATTCAAATGAAGTCAGCCAATATGATAAATTAAAGTAAAATAAGTGTTTTTTTATATATAAAGACTAGAACAAGTTATTCTTTAGCAAAAGGTCATTTACGTAGCATGGGTCTTAGAGTGCAGCAGTATGAGTTTTCCTCCGCCACACTCTCACGACACAAGAGGTTGCCTCAAGTTGTTCTGGAGATAAAGGCGGTCTCCGTAATGACAGACGACAACTCTGCATCTCTGTCTGCCGCTATCGCTCCTTCACACTTCAGCTCCTCTCTCCCACTACTCTCCTTCCTTTGCTCTCTGTCTTTAAATACCCGAAAGGTTTACAAGGTAAATTAAAAAAGGCAGCACGGTAATTCTAAAATTAAGTTTGCCGCTCTTTCATGTCACACCCTTCCCACTCTCTGCACTTGTGAGGAAGCGCTTGGCCCAATGATTTAAACGCTCGGGGCGATGTGTGTCTCTGTCTTTGAGTCGGTTTCCCTGCACCACGACACCTCAGATTGTGTCAGCGATGGCTGCTTTCCTTCTGAGGTGTGAGGGAAAGCAGAATGCCAAAGGTGAGAAGAGCTCACTGTGACATGCATGCACATAATCTCACACACTTCTTCCAACTTTCCCACACTCCAGTTCAGACAACACAATGACTTGTACACAATACCGCTCACAGCTTGAGGAGGTGTTGATGGATTAGACATCTGGATTTGGCCGACAAGGAGAGAAAATGAGGGAGAAGAAAAGAGAGACAGAATCTGGAAGAGACAGAAAGGGTTAGCGAGGCAGCGTGCAGGAAGGAAGCAGAAGGAAAAAGATCCATGCGGCGACAGAGGAGGCCAAAGAGGAGACGTGTGAAAGAAAGCAGGGAAAGCCAGCTGTTCCCAAA